GAACGGGGTGGCCACGGCAAAATATTAACGACTGCTTCTTGAAGAAAGTCCGTAGTGCGTCGAGCAATATGTGGTCGTGCGTTGTCTTGCTGAAAAAGGACGTGTGGAGAGCCCTCTACACATGGCAGTAAAGTGTAGGACATCATCAATACAACGCGCAGCAGTCATATTGCCGAACAAAGAGAAGGGGTTATCGGCTAACATAGACAATAGCCCCCTTAACCATTACTCCAGCAGTCCTGTGTACATGCCTCTCAACAGCAAATCCAATATCACGTCGTTCGCTGTGGCGGCGTCTTACCCTTCTACGACCATCGTGCGTACCTAGACAGAATCGCGATTCTGCCTCCCAATGTTGCCGTTCTCTGCTCCAGTTCAGAAGCTGACGACAGTGGTCCGCAGAGGAAGCATTAACCGTGGACGGCACGAAAAAAGTCCAAAGGCTCGAATGTGGCGATAGAGTGTACGCATAGTAACAGGTCTGCCTTCTTCTTCAAACCATTGATCAGCGACTTGACGCGTAGTAGCAAAACGGTCTCGTAGGGCTAGATGTCTGGAGCGCCTATATTGACGCTCTGTGGCACGTCTCGGTGGAACAGTTAGCCTTCTTCGTGTTCGTCTACCTTCTTCTATCCACACACGACACACACGCATTACCGTTATTGCAGTACAATTAACACGGTGGTCAATTTCGCGATAAGACAAACCAACATCTCGATAGGCAATAATTCTATCCCTGTCAAAGTCGCTAACATGGTAATAATTTGTACGACTTCGAGTTCGAGGCATTTTGTTATGCTTGACACTAGTAAATGAAAGAGCAGTAACTAAAAATATATGTACTACTCAGCTCTCAGAAACTGCTTTCTTCACAAAAACTAAGAGATATCATTTGAACAAAGGTAAAACGTTGACATTGTTGCCACAGCATGTTTTAAAAATATGTTGCCAAGACATTGAGTTGAATAAATTATTTTTTCTGGGTGTAACACTTCTAATGTCACTGAGTATATGTAAATCAACATCCTTATCTAACGATTCGCGGCGTTTTAGTCGGAGGATGACAGCTATACATCCCTAACATTCGATAAAAGTATTACAGAGTCGCAATTTGACAGCGGTCTCGGCCAGTTCGTGACAGGCTCATCTTCTACCTTCATTGCACACAACGCTGTTACTGAAAATAATTGTATTTACATAACCTACAAAGCTTTTTCGTCCTTGGCAGTTTAATCAATCTAAACGGTACTTACCAAGTTACAGAGGGGACAAGAACAGAACGACGAAAATGGGTCATATGATTTTTCGTGATGTACAGCTTCATGTCAAATCAAAGAAATATACGAGTAATATGGCTCTTTTGAAATAAAAAATATTTGTTCTGTGACGGGGAATAACTTTGACATTTTATCGCTGCTGACAGGTAACAAAATGTCACTTTTTATGAAATTACTTTTTCCCCGGGGAACAAAATGAGCACTTTTTCTCGGATATTGTATACTAAGTGACATATAAATCCGAACACCCAGTTTAAATGGTTTTATTTTAATAAAATTTTGTATAAGTACTTAATGAAGCATAATAAGTAAATGATAAAAATTTCAAAATGATTGCACTGCTTTATAGCCCTTTGACCTTAAATAATGTGTGGATGCACCCTGATGTGCTACGCATTCTCCAACGCGCCTAGGCATGCTTCTGATCAGGTGGTCAATGTCCTCCTGTGGTATCTCATTCCAGGCAACCACCAACTCCACTCGAAGTGCTTCTAGAGTCTGAGGAGGACGTTGCAAATTGAGCAATCTCCTACCCATCATATCCCACACGTGCTCAATTGGGGATAAGTCTGGAGATCTTGGTGGCCATGGTATCAATGTGACATCATTATGTTGAAAGAAGTCTATTGTGACTCTTGCAACATGTGGTCGGGCATTATCTTGTTGGAAAGTTGGATCTGCCAGGGTGTCAAGATAGGATGAAAGATGGGGTTCTAGAACTTCGTGGATATAACGCTGCGCGTTCATGTTACCTCTGATGAAGATTAAAGGTGACCTGGAACCATAAGCTATAGCACCCCAAATCATAACTCCAACAGTGTGATGAACATGTCTTTCAACAAAAAACTGTGGATTCCTCCTTTCACCACGTCGCCTTCTAACCCTGGCACCACCATCGTGCATGCCTAAACAAAATCGAGACTCGTCACTAAAGACAATACTGTTCCATTCCTGATCCCAGAGTGACCGTTGTCTGCACCACTCAAGGCGATTACGTCGGTGTTCTCGAGTTAAAGGGAGGACCCAGTGTGGCCGGTATGAAAACAAGCCAAAACTTCTCATTCGTCGGTAAACACTTCGCATGCCAATAGGTCTTCCGTGTTCTGCAAACCATTCATTTGCAGTGGACCTGGTAGTAGAGAAACTGTCCCTTAAGGCCAATAACCTTAGGCGGCGATCTTCACGGTCTGTTGTTCTACGGCGGCGTCCAGTGCCCCTTGCTCTTTGCGTACGGACTTCTCGAAGCCATGCCTGACAACACCTAACCACAATGTCTACACTTCTTTGCACTCTAACTGCAATTGCCCGAAAAGAAAGTCCAGCTTCCCGAAGTCCCACTATACGGCCCCTATCAAACTCACTAAGTTGACGAAATCGTACAGGTCTCCGTACTCTAGGCATCGTAAAGGATGTCAAGAACCAAAATCCGACAACGCTGATTCTTTACTGCGGTTGAAATATTCATTTTTTGAGCGTTAGTGAATTAAAAAAAGCAGTATAAAAACCGGAATGTCCAACTGATAAGGCTGAAAATTTTTTCACTTGTTATTTACAGTAAGATAAATACATTCACCAACCTTTATTAAAACAAAACCATTTAAACTGGGTATTCGGATTTATATGTCACTTAGTATATAAGCACATAAGCAAAGGTGGTTATTTAATTTTAGAATATTTTATTATACAATAAAGTTACATTCCCTTTATATCAAAAGTACAATTACCAAATGTGCATTGCATGAATGACATGTTCCTTAAACTATTCGGTACAACAGTCTAATTTTCTTGTGTGGAAATTATATGTTTTTCTACCATCACAACTCCCGTTATTTGGTCGCAAATCCGGTGTCATTTCAGCACACTACACAAAAGATGGTCGCGACATTTGTGTCAAATACCTCTTAATGAGCAAAGAACTGTTACTGCGGATTGGTATACCACCATTTGTTTGCCAAAAGTTATCTCCGAGCCTCGAAAAATCATCACCGAAAGAAGAATCATCCTCCAACAAGACAATGCAAGCTTGCACACAGCCCAAAAAACAAGGCAGTATTTAACGGAAGAAAACGTGGAATTATTGGATCATCCTCCATATAGTCCCGATCTAAGTCCTAACGATTTCTTTACTTTCCCGAAAATAAAAAACAGACTACGTGGTCAACGGTTCCAGTCACCAGTTGACGCATTCAAAAATGCCGTTTTGGATCTGCCAGCAAACGAGTGGAATAAGTGCTTCGAAAATTGGTTCGATCGCGTGCAGATGTGTATTAATCTTCGTGGAGAATACTTCGAAAAACAATAAAGTCATTTAAAACTACCTACCGTGTTGTTTTATTTCCATATGCAAAATTTAAAGAACATCCCTCGTACATTCGGTAAAATCTAATATATTTTTCAGTAACTACAAATCTCCTGTTTTTCATCATTCTTTGTTTCCTTAAGTTTCACAATTAATAACGTTCCCGAATCTTCAATATCATCTAATGATACCTGGCTGTTTTCACAAAGTCGACAAGGTCCTGCAATCCCAAATACAACAAAAACCTTGGCCATTAAATAAACATCATCGGGAGCATTGTTTAAGAAATCACTAATTTCTGTACTCGTAAAAATCGCAGCTTTCTTGGGCTTGTAAGCTTTCCCATTTTGTTTCAGAAATGTAATTAGTTTGAAATATTTCAAAATGTCTACATTATTATTGGATGGTAACATACTTTTAATCATTGAATAATTCGACCACATTGTTGATGGCTTTTGTTGTTGTGCCAATTCCGAAAAATAAGTCAATAACACCGTATCCGACAAAGAACTGCATGTTATTTTCGACTTCCATTCCATGAATCTTGTATACGCGGTTTCGTAAATTTTCCACGATTTAGCTGGCAATAATTTTTGTGAAGCTACTTTGGCTACTTCTACTAATTCCGGTAGAGTCAACGAAAACTCGGAATCAGACATTTTTTACTTTATAGTATTAACAATAACTTCTAAGCCACCACTGAGTTCACAATTTTTAAATTAAATCACAAAAGTAAATTGACAGCTAATTGATTACTTTAAAAGTTTCCTTAGCAACGCAGGCCTAATTGTCGCTATACTATAAGTACAACATAGCCTACTAATTTCAAAATTCAAATTTCGCATCGATAATTTTCTGACTTGAATATTGTAATAATATAATATTTTAATATTAAATCGTCGTTTTTCCCGTCAGAAAAAAATTGTGTATTATACACGGGAAATATACTAGGTTTTAGCTTGCCTCCTCAAGCTTAAATCTAGTACTTTGTTCCCTTGTATAATAAATAACCTAACAGTGCATACTCACAAAAGCATTTGCTTACTAAGTTCGTCATTACATACCTCCCAGTGTGCCTTCACAGTAAGGATACCGTATTGCTCACCTGTAAAGAAAGAAAGTTATGCAGTTTAATGAATATTTATATTAGTTGACAATTCTTGAATATAATTTCTTTAAACATTTTTATCGATAGAAAAATATAATTTGTGCAATTGTTTCCGAAGTGATCAAGAATAACTATTGCCTGCCTTGCAAGAACATTCTCTTAACATACATACCTCCGAAACATAACTTTTCACATTACTAATTAAAATTATAACAGAGGCATATTTATTTATAGTCAACGCCAAACAAAGTGGCGTGCACGTCATCACGATGAAAATTCCCCGACCTAATGCCTAGGTTTCTATCACAAACAATTGCTCTATTGCAGTTTCATATTAATGTGATATATAAATTGTAAAATGGTCATTACTCTCTTATTATGGTTAATAGTCATATAAACATTGTTATTAAAATATCACATAAGTTGCTTTCTGATAAATTTAGACGCATTATGCGAAATAAAATGTTTTGCAAACGCTCCAATCACTTATCGACATGTAAACGCACTAAACCGATTTCGCAGCGTTGACACATTGTCACCTTGAAACTTATTTAAACTGGGAACTGACATTTGTATTAATTTTGACACTGAATCAATTTGTGGCATTTCAAATCTTTATAAATCCTTTGGCCCCGCATACTGTAAATCAACAACTGTTTGTTTCAAAACAAAATTATTCATTTTACGAGTAGATAAAGGCAATTTTGGTATATAAAGATGCCCAAACAGTTAAATAGTCGGTGTAAGGAACTCGTGGCCTCATTAATGCACTACTTTGAGCAAGAAAGGGACAACAACGGGCCTTTGTTGCCTTTAAATGCTGTTCAAGAGGTAGGTTACTAATAATTATATGTAATGTATATTAATAATAGTGAAATTTTATTTCATTTTTTGTAGCGTGTTGCTGCTGCTTTAAAAATTAGTTTAAGGACAGTTAGTCGTATTTCCGAGGGTGTGAAAAGTGATGCAAATTTAGAATCGCCCAAGAAAAAGCGGAGTTATATTAAACGTGTAACCAACACAGCGACATTGGATACAAGTGCCATTCGAGAAGTGATCTATAATATGTATCACAAAAGTAAGATCTTATTATAATAACTTATCAGAAATTTGCATTAATTTGTTAACTAAATTATAATGTCATATTACACATGGTTTCAGAAGAACAAGTTACGATACAAACTTTATGGTCTCGATTAAGAGATAGGGCATTATTTGATGGTAGTGCTACGTCTTTAAGGCGGTTGCTTAGAGATCTTGGATTTAAGTGGCTTAAGGACAATCCGCGACGAGGGCTCATGGAACTACCAAGTATAGCTTTGAAAAGGGTGGAATTTCTAAGGCAATACAATCAAGCCAAGGTTGAGGCCTTATACCAGTTTGTCTTCCTCGATGAAACTTGGATATTTCAAAATGGGACCATAGGTCGCTCTTGGCAAAATGGAAACCAAAAAAGCGTGAAAGCTATTAAAACAGATGGTAAAAGGTATGAACTTTTACACAATTTGCACTATAAAATTTAAAACTAATATATTTTAGATACATTATATTACATGCTGGAAATGAAAATGGGTTTATTGAGGGTAGTGAAGCGATATTTTCTTCGAAAACAAAATTGAGCGATTACCATGGAGAGATGAACCAGGACAATTTTTTGAAATGGTTTCAACATCAGTTATTAGAAAAATTGGAGAGTCCATCTATGATTATACTTATCACAGCATGATATTGAACAAAGTGCCCAACAATGCATGGACAAAAAAAAATATCCAAGACTGGTTGACAAATCAAAACATACCATTTTTAAACACAATGTTTAAAACAGAGCTATTGAGTATTGTTGCTCGGTACATAATGCTTCTTAATTATATATATTTTGGTCGACAGTTTATATTTCTTTTGTTTATTCCTATTCTTAAAATAACTGCTTTTTTAGAAACAAACCACCTAAAATATACGTGATTGATGAATTGGCGGAACAACATGGGCACAAAGTTCTTCGTCTGCCTCCTTACCATTGTATATTTAACCCTATTGAGTTAATTTGGGGCATAGCAAAAGGTTACTATAACAGACATATTGGTAGAGATGGTAACAGTGAAAAAGACTGTTTGGATATGTGTAACGAGGCTCTACAAACGGTTACCCCAGACATGTGGAAAAATAGTGTTCGACATACTAAGCAAGAAATTTTTAAATGGTATGAAAGAGAACGAATTTTTGATCGACCAGACATCGAACCTTTAATAATCAACTTTGAGAGTGATGAAGATTCAGATTCAGACAGCGCTGAAGAAAGAAACTCCGACTAACTTTATTAAACAGAAAAAGCTTACACCAGTAGCTTACCTAATTTTAGAATGCATTTTTCTGTATGAATTCTGTAAAATAAACACCATGCATAAAATTTGGAGGACCCCATTTGGATTTTTATTCAGTACCTTTAAGCTATCAATTAAATATGGTAGTTTCATAGTGTCATCTGATCAATAATTGTCATACTTAATGATTATGCAAGTACAGATCTATAATTTTATTAAACTATTATTTTTGTTCTCATTTGAGGTTAATATTGCTTATAAACCTAGATATGTAAATAATAAATTTTATTATTTTACAAAAAGTTTGGCAACAATGTAAATTTTTCAACACACCCACCTTGATGACGTGCACGCCACTTTGTTTGGCGTTGACTATAATGTAATTGTAACAATGCTTTTGAGTTAACTAACACTTAACCTACAAGGGTCGCAACGTATGCTCTGAATTTAATAACTATAGTGAGATAATATCACAGAAATTTCGAATAGTTTTTCCCAAACAACAGTTAAAAATATGAAATCGTAAAAATAATAATGTAACATTGAAAGGACGGGATATTAAGAAAGCAGAGATGAATAATAATAATATGCGATGCAGTGCTTAGTAGAATAACGAGATATACCTGAATGAATTATTTTTTAGCGGACAGCTGATAAAGAATATTGTTTGTATTATTACGATATTGAAATATAAATGATTGAAGCATCATATGTTTGAATATCACGAGAGCATGCTGCCGTATCACAATAACTTTGTTTCCGAGGGTCCTGTTAAGTATCACATAATTAAAAATATTTCTTTCCAGGTTTGGAGGTTAAAAGTAATTTATGGATAATCACTGAATAATGATACTTCATAAGATCATTCATTCTGAACCACTCAAGTATAGTATATTTTGTAAAGCGTACCTAATCAAATGCACGTAACTTAAAGGTAAAGCGAAGACAGTATGTATAACACGTTGTTAGAATCAACCATACTCACGCTCGTGATTTGAGATATCATTGCTGTCCGAAACTAAGCAGTTACTAAAATTTTGTGGATCGATTGTAAAGATGAGGAAATGTAGCGGAGTTGTCGGTGAGTCGGGTAGCTTTTATGACAACCCGTGTGGAACCCACCATAGCGAAAACATATTAATATTCAAATCCACCAGAATAACAATATTTTTATAGGTAAGAAACAATAACAGCAAGAAAATTATTCTATTTGATAAATCCAAGCATTGCTCTCTATTTTGAGATGGAGGGCGAAATGGAACACCTACTAAAGTTTCTCTCCTACTAGTGACAACTTTTATCCATAACTTTTCCAGACATTCTCCATATCACATATCAAGAGAGACTTTTTTGCGAATAAACATGATTTAACATATACTACAACACCTCTGCCATGAGGTTCCCTGTCACATGGAAGAAATTGATAGTTGTTAATATGAATTACATCGCTGATGCAATTATTATTCAGCCTTGTTTCCGTTACCGCCAAGTTACTGTGGACATATCAACATGACTTAACGCAATAAATACTGAAGTACTGTGACTGCTATAGATAGATATGTACATTTACAGATTTCTACCAAGTTTGTATTAGAAGCAGAATTCCTCATGAGTATTCGAAGATCTGTGAAGGAGAGCTCTAAGGAGCAAAGTATAGCAAGGCGTTTCCAGCATGTGTGGACACGGGCTTCACACCTAGAAGCTGGCGGCAGGCTAAAGAGGTATTTATTCCTAAACCGGGCAGAGCTAGATATATTTGCCCGAAAGATTTTCGTACGATTACCATTTCATCATTTGTGCTTAAAACATTGGAAAAGATAGTTGACAGATTTTTGAGGAACGGTCCGCAGGAAAGGTGTGTCATTCATTCCAATTAGTTTGCATACCAAGCTCGGAAATCGACTAATCTGGCTTTACACAATCTGGTCGGCAGGCTGGAGATCAGCGAGAAGTGGCACTCGTGGCCTTTTTGGACATTGAAGGTGCATTTAGTTGCACTACAACCAACTCTTCGTTAGGCACGGGGTTGGATTAATCCCAGTAGATTGGATCCTATCCACTCTGAAGGGTCAGGCAGCAACAGCTATGCTGAATGACGTAAACTGCAGCGTCAGCGTAGCTCGGGGCTTCTGTCGCCCCTACTGTGGTGCCTCGTGGTAAACGAACTCCTCGTTAGGCTCAGCAGTCCGAGTGTTTACATGCAAGCCTATGCATGTAGTTAGGGTCGTTTTTCTAGAACAGTCTTTGAGATTATGAAGGACGCTCTTCGCACTGTGGAATCGTCGTGTAGGGAGGTCGATCTTTCTGTTAACGCTGGAACGATCGAGCTGATCCTATTTACTAGGAGGAAAAGACTTGACGGGCTTGTCTTACCGACCTTCTTCGAGACTAGATTAGTTCTATCTATAATTATCCTGGACTGCAAATTGAGCTGGAGATAACATGTTAAATACAAGATTAACAATTCAATGTGGACTTGCAGACGTATTATTGGAGTAAGGTGGGGGCTTAAACCCAAAGTGGTAAACTGGCTCTACATGACGATAGTGCGTTCATCTGTCTTGTACGGCTGGGTGGGTGGCGTTGCATTGCAACTGAAACGACTAAGGCGAAACTCAATAAAATCCAGCGTTTGGCCTGTATCAAATTACAAGCGCAGTGCGAACAACGCTATTG